AAGAAGTAAAATTATCTGTTGTATTCCCAACAAACTATCAAAAAAAAAAATAGGAAAACAATCTTGTTTACAATAGGATCAAAAAGCACAAAATATTTAAGAGTAAACTTAATCAAGGAGGTAAAAGACTTGTATATTGAAAACTAAAAAAAGTGATTAAAATAATTGATGAGACACAAATAAATGGATGTTTGTCCATTTACTGGACTGAAAGACTTAATATGGTTAAAATGTCCATACCACCCAAAGTGATCTACAGATTCAGTGTAATCCCTATCAAAATCTCAATAGCATTTTTTACAGAAATAGAAAAAAAAATCTTAAAATTCATATGGAACCACAAAAGATCCTGAATTTCCAAAGCAATCTTGAGAAAGAAGAGCAAAGCTGGAGGCATTACACTTCCTGATTTCAAAATATTTTACAAAGCTACAATAAATACACAATGGGGAAGGAATGTTCTCTTCAAAAAGGGTGTTGGGAAAACTGGATATCCACATGCAAAAGAATGAAATTGGAACCTTATCTTACACTATACACAAAAATCAACTCAAAGTAGATTAAAGATTTAAGTGTGAGCCCTGAAACTATTGAACTTCTAGAAGAAAACATATGGGAAAAGCCTTACGACATTGGTCTAGGTAGTGATTTTTTTGGAGATGATACCAAAATTATAAGCAACAAAAGCAAAATTAAACAAGGGGAACTACATAAAACTAAAAAGCTTCTGCATAGCAAAGGAAACAATCAACAAAGTGAAAAAGCAACCTACGAAACAGGAGAAAAATCTTTGTAAACTATATATAGGAAAAGGGGCTAATATCCAAAATATATAAGGAACTCCTATAACTCAATAGCAAAAAAATAAATAATGTGATTAAAAAATGGGCGAAGGACTTAAATAGACATATCTCCAAAGAAGACATATAAATGGGCAACAAGTATATGAAAATATGCTCAGCATCACTAATTATCAGGGAAATGGAAATCAAAACGATAATGAGGTATCGTTAGGTTAGGATGGCTTTTATTAAAAAAAAACCCAAAAGATAACAAGTGTTGGAGAGGATGTGGAGAAACTGAAACCCTTGCACACTGTTGGTGGGAGTACAAAATAGCGTATGGAAAATATTATGAAGGTTCCTCGAAAAATTTAAAAGTAGAACTACCATATGATCCAACAATCCCACTTCTGGGTATATTTCAATTCATATAAATTGAAATCAGGGTCTTGAAGAGGTATCTGCAGCACTATTCACAACAGCCAAGATATGGAAACAACCTAAATGTCCATCAACAAATGAATAAAGAAAATGTGGTATATACATAGAATGGAATATGACTCAGCCTTTAGAAGGAAATCCTACCATATGCTACAACATGGATGAACTTTGAGGGCATTATGCTAAGTGAAATAAGCTGTCACAGAAGGACAAATATTACATGACTCCACTTATATGAGGTATCTAAAAAAGTCAAAGTCATATAAACAGCGTAATGTTGGTTGTTAGGGGTCAGAGGATGGGGAATAGGGAGTTGCTGCTGAACAGGTATGAAGTTTCAGTTATGGAAGATGATTAAGTTCCAGAGATTGTACTATAGGCATGGTAAAATACCTAAGATATAGGTAAGATAGTTAAAATATAGGCATAGTTTAAAATATTATACTGCACACTTAAAAATTTATTAAGTGTTCTTACCAAATAAAAAAAAACAAGAAAATTTTTCAAAGATACATTTCTCAATTTTTCAATGAAGTTAAAGAAAACTAAACTATAAACTTAGGAGGGGGGCTGGGATAGCTGGGAGAGCTTGAAATGAAAACTCCTATAATGAAGTAACTAGTATATTACAAAGATCAGAGAAACAAGCAAGACAAAGAGCAGCAAATAGAAAATAAAATTCTGTTTAACGTTATAAATAAGGAACACTGTGTTTTCTTTATTGACATGGATGTGTTCACTTGTGATAATTCATTAAGCTTATGATTTGTAATCTTTTGTACATATATGTTATATGGCAATAAAAAAGTAAAAAAGAACAAGTACATACTCTTTGTTCTCACATTTGTAGACGTGATTGAGAGAGGAATACACATGAAGAATAGAGACAATGTTTTTCATGTTCAGGGATTCAGGTTCCTCTACTACTTTCTTCATAAACATGTCCATCAAACCAACAGGTCGAAAGCCAAGATTTTCAAATGAAATGAGGAGAAAAATAACCTTGAAAAGAGAAAGAATTGAGGGAAAAACTTGTTAATAATTACAGGATACTAATAGTAGTTTTTTAGATCTCAAAAAACTTAACAGCCATACGATTGTCCTGATCAACAGAATATACCCTAAAAAGGAACAATTACCTTTCCCTCGCAAAATCCATTCTATTAATCCTTGAATTCAGTGTCAAGTTAACAAGCAATCTCTTCTCATAAGCTGAGAACCACAGCATAAAATGGTTTCCACATTTCCATTGCATTTAAAAATAAATCCTTTCCTATATGCTTTTCATACAACAGATCTGAAAATTACTTTTAAACATACCTTTTCTGAAGTTTCTCAAAATGTCCAACTCAATCTTGAACTCCTCCCACACCCAAACCAAGACACTTCCTAGATTCTAACATGTAAAAGATGACTCAAAATTTCTATATTTAATATTAATTCCTATAAGTGAGAATAGAGCTGAAATATCACGATTAAAATAAATTTTCCAGTTCACCTCCAATTCCTTCTCAGTCTTTCTCATTTATGATTACCTCTCTTTCCATAATTAATTCCCATAGTAAACTAAATATTCATCTTACTCTCCAAAGTAAACTGAACCTAGTGGTCTAACAGTTACCACCTCCTTCATTGCAAAAAGTAGTTTCAACCAGCTGCTTCATTTAGATGTTTATTATTAACAGAGCCCCTGAAATTAAAGGCTTTTATTCTGAAGGAAATAATGGACATGATCATTAAGTAATGACATTTTATTCCTCAAAAACTATAAACCTTCCACATCACCCATCCTTATTATTCTAAATCTAATAAGAAAAAAGTATAAACATAGAAATAATGCTAAATATCTAACCAAAGCACCATACAATCTTTTGAAAACCAAATAATACAGCAAACTTTGGACAATATAATTTGTTTCAGATAGAAAGATGATCAAAAGATCGAACAGTATACAGATGATCCTCAACTTACAATGGGGTTACATCCTGATAAACCCATCACAAATTGAAAATATAAGTAAATCAAAAATGCATTTAATACACCTAACTTACCAAACATTATAGTTTAGCCTAGCCTACCTTAAATGTGATCAGGACATTCACATTATCTTATAGTTGGGTAAAATCATCTAACACAAAGCCTATATTATAGTAGTGTTGACTATCTCATGTAATTTATTGAATACAGTACACTGTATAGTATCAACTGTTTACCCCCATGATCATGTGGCTCACTGGGAGCTGCAGCATCACAAGAGAGTATCTTATCACATATTCCTAACCTGGAAAAAGATCAAAATTCAAAACTGAAAGTACGGTTTCTCCAGAATCTGTGTAGCTTTCACACCACCACAAAGTCAATACATTGTAAGTTAAACCATCGTAAGTCAAGAACTATCTATATTAACAAGTAACTCCCAGATAGAAATATTAAGGAGTTAATTTTTCAAAAATCAATTTAGCGTGAGGATATCTTCGTATCTTAACTGCTATAAGGGTGAAAGAGAAATATTTAAAATGCTAAATGAATTAATTATAATATGTTTTTTGAAAGTTTCTGGGGCTTATTCTAACATACTCACTTGTTTCAATTTCCAGATGTCATAAGTTGCAGCCACATAGTCTGCTATTCCCTTGAAGAGATCTAAATTATGGTATCGGAGGTCTTTGCAGGACTGCAATATGTTGATCAATATTTTAAAAGGAAATCCATGGACATTATCTTTAAGAATGAGTTAAATAAATAAACAAAAATTACCAGATGGTTTTAAATATAAGATTCAAGACGCTTGAAAATTATTTTTCATACATGAGTAAGGTTTTTAAAACAAACAAAAGAAATATAGTCCAAAACAGTACGTCAGATGCTGCAAATGATGAAAGAAAAATTCTTACCTATGACCATCTTACTGCATTCATTCAAGAGTACCATAGAACGATGATTCATGGTGGCCAGTGCCTCAAACATGCGCTGGCTATTCAAAATAGAAAATCTGTCTAATTCACTTAAGGCTTTCATCTAAAGAAAACAAACTTAAATTTACTATTTGTGGCAAAAAAAATAAATAAATAAAACTTTTATTTTTAAGTAAAAAGGATGAAGTTTGAGAAAAATAGGTAAATATATATATTTACATATAGATAAATATGTCTACTTCTATTAATTCACTTTAGCAAAGCTAAACCCAAAGGTACAGCAATGTCCTCCTAGAAAATTAATTTCAGGAAGTGATAGTGGGTTATAAGAAATAATTTCTTCAAATATCATTCATTAGAGAAAATTCAGGTATTTACCTCCAGTTTCCTTTTAAGAGCAATTGGTGCATCTTTTCCAATACATTTCATCACAGCTTGTAAAGTGAAGACATGTTTTATTTTCCAAACTTGCTGATCAACTAGTATTCTGTCATCAAACACAATAAATATTACAATCCTAGAGTCTTCAAATCAGAAAAGAAATCTTAAAAAAATTTCATTTGATCCAGCTCCTACTTCTTATAGGCAAAGAATATGAATCCCAAAGAAACAATCTGCCTGCTCAAGAAAGTGTAAGCAGGCCGGGCGCGGTGGCTCACGCCTGTAATCCTAGCTCTCTGGGAGGCCGAGGTGGGCAGATTGTTTGAGCTCAGGAGTTCGAGACCAGCCTGAGCAAGAGCGAGACCCTGCCTCTACTAAAAAAATTAGAAAGAAATTAATCGGCCAACTAAAAATATATAGAAAAAATTAGCCGGGCATGGTGGCACATGCCTGTAGTCCCAGCTACTAGGGAGGCTGGGGCAGTAGGATCACTTGAGCCCAGGAGTTTGAGTTTGCTGTGAGCTAGGCTGACGCCACGGCACTCACTCTAGCCAGGGCAACAGAGTGAGACTCTGTCTCAAAAAAAAAAAAAAAAAAGAAAGTGTAAGCAGTTAGTGAAAGATCTAGCCCCTAGTACTATTTCCTTTCACATTATTGTGCTGTCTTTATTAATGAACAATTCACATCAGGAGATAATAGGAAAATAACCTATGCATAGTCAATGAAAAAGGGAATTAAGTATTATTCTCACTAATCTATGACATTAGATCAGTTGTATCAATTTTATAAATTCCTTTTCAAGCTGGGCCAGTGTCATACAGTCCCCACATAGTGCTCAAATAACTATTTTGAATTAAATACACAAATCAATTCTCCCCCAGCCCACATCAGTACTATGTTTTAAGATAAATTAATTTCGATTTCAATGTTACTCAGGTTTTTCACGGTGGACCCCAAAGGTAGTATTATTTCCAGCTTTATCTCATCCAGAATCAGGATTTTTAAGCTTAATAAGGTAGTAAAGACCATAACTATCAACAAAGCCTCCCCAACCCCCACTCCAAAAAAAAAAAGCAGTTCAGTTTCCATCTCATTTGTTTTATTCCAGATATAAGAGGAACAAAGAAAACCACATAAAGAAAGAATAAGAGAGTTCTCACCTCAATCCTGCTTGAAGAACGTGCACATTCTTACATGGCTCTATTGCCTCTATAATAGCTGACAGAATTGAAAGACATTTCTCATCACACTCATTGATACGTTCCTATTGAAATATAAAGACAAAAACACTACAGGTGATGAGCCCATAGTAGACTATCTCACCCAAGCAAAATCACCAAACTGACGCTTTCAATAGAAGGATTAAGTTTCAAACCAATAATTCCTACAGTCAGGCCACAATGAACAGCATCTTTGGGAAATAAGATGTCATACTTAAGTGAATTTTCCAAATAACTGATACACATCCTTTCATGCATCAACGCATTTTTACCTTCACCATTATCACTGAAAATCCACTTGGTATTTTCCCTGCTTCTGAAACAACCTTTATCAAACATTATTTTTACCTCTTCTGAGAACCCAAGGTCATCATGAAAACAAAAACAGTTCAACTACAGTAATATAAAAGCTACTGAGGTACATAGGCAATTTGCCCATTCCTAAGGATCCTTAGATGCCTGTGCTCTTACAATTCTCCTATATCCTTGCCCAAGTGTCAATCAAGCTGAAACTTCAGTTATGAATCTTGCGAGCCACATCTCCTGCCACATTTCATCACCACTATTTGGGTCTCAAGGGGAGCTCAGGCTCCACAGATACTTCCTTCAGGTCCCTTTAGTTTGGTACTAATTTAGATTCCAGAAACAACAGTGGGCATTATTTGGAAAGTAAATAGTAATAACACAGCTTACCTTCTTTCAATTTAATCACAATTAGTCTATATATCTCACAAGAGTAGTTATGCTCACATCTGAGGAAACTCAGGCTAAAAAGAGGCATGCTCTTTTGCTAAACTTACATGACTAACCCAATCACAAAGTCTCAAGTCAAAACCAGATACTGATAATAAATAGATAAGGCTGGAAGAAAAAAAAAGGTTTCATTCCCACAGGAGGGTTTTCTTAACAATTTATAGCATTCCATCAATATCTGCTGTGAAAGGAAAGGCCACTTGGCTATGTTTGAAGGGCAAATTCACTGATGGTACATTGTCCTTTCATCTCTAGCTAAAATGTCTTTATAACATTCCAACAGGTCAGTGAGACACAAATGATACACACAGATGTTCTGACTCCAAAAATCCACTGCTCATACCTCACCAATGCAGATGTTATGCTGATGTGAATATCTGTCCAAAATGTAGTAAGAGCATCTCTGACCAGGTAAGGTGACTTATTATAATCCCTTTTAACTACATAGGGAACTAAAACATAGTCTACCAAATAAACATGGATATTCTGTGGTTTAAACAAACACATACACACACAAAATAAAAATTATGTCTTGGTTGACGACATATGGAAATCTCAGTAATATAAAAAGTGAAAGTTGAAAACTCTCATATACTTATGAATCCAATTCTTGAATTCTATAGCAAGATAGGATATATGTGAGATTATCCCCAGGAAATTCCTGTCTTTTAAAAAATTATTAATTATGATCATTGAGTTTAAAAGTCTGAAGTCTCGACTCTTAAATGCAATTGATTAACAAGCTAATCTTTTCTTCATCACATCTGGCACCATTTCAATCACATCATGCAGGATACCAACATTCCTGTTTTAAACTAAAAATGGCTCCTTCCATCCAATTTCATCCTTCTTCCAATCCATTTTCCACTCATTCAGTGATCTAAAATACAAATTTGAGTATGTCAATCCACTGCTTAAAATTCTTCAATGGATTCCCATTGCCTGCAGGAAAAATACAAACTCCTTAAACAGGCATAAAAGGCTCTTTATGATTCAGCTCCTATTTTTCTAGCCTCATGTCCTGTCACTAGATAAGCTCCTTGCCCCTCTTTTCTCCCCTTTGACCACCACATGCACAACTTCCTTCCCCACCCCTTCAAACACACAACCCTATCATTCTGTGCTTCAGCCACACCAAACTACTTTCAGCTCCCCAACCTTGCCAAACTTTTCCTCTGGGAAGTTAGGGCATGCAATCCTCTCTGCTTGAAACACCATCGCTTTCACTATCAAACCTCTCACCAGCTCAGGCATCATTGCCTACTGGGCATGAATTCCAACTCTACCATGAGCTAAGTTCCCTTCCCTCCCCTTCCCTTCTCATCTTCCTTCAACTACCCAATATTTCTTTGTATATCTTGCATCTCTCCTCATTTTAGCTTCCTCATTACTACTAACCCCTGGAGAAGGTAAACAGGGCAAGCTTTCATAAATTCCACAGCAAAAGGAAGAAAAGACCTAGCTAATTAATTTAGGTCTCTAAATCATACAACATATGCACCATCTCATTAGATAGTCTCCTTTAAGGAGGCTACATATCTATTTCTCTTCATTCTTTCAAGATATTCTAAACCAAGTAAAAATATGTTTAAATATCCTTTTGATTTTACCTGGATCACCCTCAGCAAAGTCTGTACCAGAAGAGTGTTCTGAGGGATTCCAAGTTTCACCATAGCATGAAGACTGAACAGCAAATGGTTATAGCGCATGATCTTGGCTTCTCTCATCATATGTTCACAGAGCTGGTTAAATGCAGGGTGGCTAAACATCAGTTGTTTTTCACAGCGCTTCTGGTCTTCAGACATCCTTTTGGCAATTGTCCACATTGCTGTGAAATAGTTACTACTAGGAAATGTAGGTGCTTTTGAAAATGTATCTAACACATCACTCAGGGAATTACACTCCTGAGACAATTTTCTATAGCTGATAGGGGCTGGCTTTGTTTCATTGGTGAGAACATCTTCATTGGAGACTTCCTGATGAAAGTTTACTTTTCTCAATCCATTATCGGGTGTACCAACAGAGACAACAGAATGTTTTGAGTCAAAGGACAGTCTTCTAGGGCAAAGCAGTTTGTCAATTGTAAGAACCGTTAGGGTGCTTCTGCCTTTTGTTGGAAATCCATCATCTCCTGATTTAAAAATGAATGCATCCTGGAAGAGATATCTACAAAATGATCTAGATGATTGAATTCTGTTATCAAAGTCATTTAAGGGATAGTTTCTTGGGTTCCAGTTTGAATAAATAAATTTTGGTCCGCAAAATCCCACAGTTTTGCTTCTTGGGACTAAAGTACTGAATTGTCTGAGGTTCCATAAAAAGGAACCTGCTTTGTTATTCATTTTGCTAGCCACTCAAACGCTTCCAAATAGCTTTAAAGTCGTCAATATGAAACAAATGTCACTTCTACTAGTGAAAAAGAATACATGCTGTCGTTTTCCTGTAGGGGAAGGGATAATGAAAGGAATAAAAATTACAGTAAAACTTTTGCTTAAAGAAATGAAATACATTTAACAGAGGAAACGATGGGAACTTATGGAGCCGTTAAAAATTTTTAAACGGTAAAACTATTTTACCAATATATGCTTCCTCCACGTGTACCACAATGTGTACAGGTTTAAAGAAGCCAGGTTACTTTGGAAGTAATCGTTGTATAAATGAGATTTTTTTAAAGTGAATTTCTGGTGGAAAAGCGTCTCATAAAGCTACCTCTGCAGGAAATTTTGTTACTTTGCCATGGAGATACCTTTAGTGAAAATAAGGGGGTTAACAGTGACAGATGATTTTCAACTTGAGGATTTAGCAACGGCCCAACCTTCAACTATTAAGACTAGGGTATTGGACAGGTAGAATGGCTCAGGCGAAGAAGGGGAAAACGAAAGTGATGTTTGCATGTGGCCTGCATTTAAGAGGAAGACACACCAGCCGGCCTCACCAGACCTCAGAACCAGCGTCTGGAGCCTATCCTTTCGCAGCTGAGCCGCCTAGCATTACCCCACCTCCCTAAACTTAATGCCGAACGACCCCTGAGACCTTTTCCAGCAGGATAAAAAAGTCTAGGGTGTGATACTGCTAATCGCTCTGCCTATGCTCGTACTCCACTCACCTTAGAGCAGAACCCTGTGGCTATACATAGGCGCGGCCATGACAGCGTCCCCGAGAGTTCCGCATATCGCGAGATTTTACGGATTCCTTCAGAGATCAAAAAGAGTACGTTCGTGGTGGTTGCAGAAAGATTTACTCAGAAAGAAGAAAGCGTACCGAGGAGAATGGCTATTTTTCCAAAATACAGGGATAGGCATGGGGGAGACCACAGAGCTTATAAGAGCAAAGTATGATCATGTACCGCAATGTAACCCATTCAAGTCCTAATTTTATAAACACCTAACCTCTCCTGCTGGGCGCCAAACTTCGAAGTGCGCCTGCGCCATGCCCTCGGCTGTGTGGTTGCCGGGATACCGCGACGCCGCGGTCCCCGCCTCTGGGTCTTGTTTGATAATGGCCAAATTCGTGATCGCGGGTGAGTGATCCCGGCTTCTGCCTGCAGATGGCTCAAAATGGCAACAACAAGCCATGGCCTCTTGGCAGTGATCTTCTTAATTGGCTTCTTTTCTATAATGGCAAGTCCAGCCTCTATACGAACCACCCCATGCTTTCTTATACATTCATTCAAAGATATCTATTGGACAGTGACCGTGCGCCATGCATTGCCGGACACTGGGGATACACATGGGGAGACATATCCCTGCCTTCGAGGAGCTTTAAATTTCGTGGGATACAGAAGCATGAGAACAAGTACTGTTGATGGGCTGTGATTAATGTAATGAGGGAGACATGCACAGGCCTCTGGGAGAATAGACCCCTAATGTGAGTGTTGGGGATGGGAGAGAGGACACAAGGAACTCACTGGGGGCGGAGAGGTGTTACAGGAGCTGAGTTGTGAAGTTATGGGCTGGGGAGGCTGTTCCAGACAAAGGCACCCAGGCTAGAAGCCTCATGGCCTTATGAAAAATCTGGATATAGGGGGAGTGACAGGACCTGGAGCTAGAACAGGAACAGGAGCCAGAACCTTGAACCTTACGTGCCCCCAAGCAAAGGTATTTGAACTGTATTTTGAAAGCAGTGAAGAGTCACTGAAAAATTTTAAGCAGGAAACTAGTCTTAATGAGTTTGCATTTTAGGAAGCTCATCTTGGCAGCAATGGAGGGGAAGAATTGGAAATGCTGTCCGGCAGCAAGGAAACCACTGAGGAGGCTTTTATTGCAATAGTCTGTTGCACCCGCCTCCTCCCCTTCTCAGCAAGTTTCTTAAGAGAATAGACTACTCTTCCACCTCCAGTTCTTTGTTCCACTCGATTTGACTTCTACTTCTGCCTTCTAACAGAAACTGTCCTCACCAAAGTCACCAATGACTTTTAGAGAAGCTCTTCAGTGCTTGTCATATTTGACCTCTTTGATACAATTGAACACAATTGGCATCTACCATCTGCCTAAGAATCTATTTCCTTTGCTTCTTTATTCATTTGGAAGACTATCTTTGAGCACTAACTAGATGCTGGGAAGACATTGGAAAACAAATGTACAGAAAATGTTGCATATGTGACAGTGGCAGGGCAGGATTCTATGAGAACGGTGGCAGGGGACCTGACTTAGTCTGGTAAGTGCTTCCTGGAGGGAGAGACTTTAAGCAGATACCTGAAAGATGAGAAAGAGTTACCTAATAGAGAAGAAGTAGAAAAAAAACGGAGCAATTTAAGCACTGGTAGCAGGGAGTGGGGTTAGAGTGAGGAGAACTAGTTTAGTAATAATTGAGAATATAAAATAAACAGAAAACTGAAATAAGTTTAATATGACTGGAGCAGAGTACAAGGAAGAGAATGTCATAAAATGAGGCCAGACCAGAGATAGATAATGTAGATTATTGTGAGTCACATTCAGTAGTTTAGACTTAATGCAAAATAATGGAAGGGGAGAACGTAATATTTGCATTTCTTCTAAGTGTTATGGTTATAGTATGGGAGAGAAAGGCTGGGTGCCAAGAGACCAGTTAGGAGACTGGTGCTATAGTCCAGGAAGGAGTTGGTGGCCTGGCCTAGTGTGGTAGACAGTGGAGAAGTGAGTAGATTGTAGAGATATTAGAGAGGCAGAATCTATTGCACTGGATGTCTAGTTGGATGGTGGAGGACAGGTAAGGGAGAAGAAAAAGTTAAAAATTATTCCCAAGCAGTGGTTTTGATAACTGGGTAGATTAGGAGCCATTGAAAAAAATTAAGCAGAAGAGTGGGCTTAATACTCTAAACACTCTCAATACTCTAAATACTCTTAATACTCTTAGATAATTCAGGTAGATGGACATAAAGAACATAGAAGAGGGAACAGATATGGTAAGAGAATGGTTACAACATCCATGATAGACCTGCTGATTGTTTATGAGACACTTAGAAGGAGATGGAAGGGTATGGGTATCCAGATAAGCAGATAGATCAGAGCTGGAAATACAGATTGCTGGTTGAAACCAAGGACGTGGAAGAGATTGGCCAGGAAGAATAAATACATAGAGTATGAAGAGAAGATGCCTCTCAGAATGATACATTTTAATGGGTTGATAAAGGATAGGAACCTACAAAGTATAGAAAGGAGTGGCCACAGAAGTAGGAGGAAAATCTAGAAAATACCCCATCATAGTGTTTCAAAAGAGTGAAAGGGGAAAACAGTAGCAGATGCAGCCAAGGGGCAAGAAGAAAAGGATTGAAAAGGATCCATTAGATTTAGTGGCATGGAGATTCTTAGTGACCTTCTAAAGAATTATGGGAGAAGCTAGATTGCAGTGGGTAAGAAATAAATGGAAGTAAAGAACTGAGGGTGTCATGTGTAGAGAATTATTTCAAGAAGTTTTTACAGAAAAGGGCATGTGAAAGGCAATAGCTAGAGGGGGCATGGGCTTTTTGTTTTTTAGGACAGGAAAAATATAAATATAACAAGTATATTTAAATATGATAGAAAGGGACCCTTAGAAACAGAGATAAGATTCTAGAAAGAGGGGATAATTAATTGGGCAAGGTTGCTGAGAAGGCAGAAGAGGGTAGGATTCGGAGCATAAGTGGTGGAATTAGACCTAGACAGAAGGTAAGACTCCTCCTCCAGTGAAAAGGAGAAATGAGGAAAGGATGAGTCCAAATGCAGACAGGCATATAGGCATCATGGTAAGGGGTTGTGGGTTTTCCCAATTGATGCCTTGCTGTTTGGTTTGGTTTGGTTTTTGTAAAGTAGAAAGCAAGGTTATCCATTGTCTTCTGATAGTACAGAGAAATGTTGGGGAGGGGGAAGATTTAAAAGAAGAGAACAAAGTTTAGAATAGTCATTGTGGAGAACAGAAGGGAGTGCTAACAAAGGAAACAGAGGCATCTCCACGCAGAGTTCAGGGACAATTAAAGCTGGTGACCGTAAATTTATAATGGTGCCCCTCTGCTTGGTTCTACCATGTTTCTCCAGTGGTGCCTACCAGGTAGGACCCAGACACATAAAAAGCAGGTAATTGGGTCCATCCATGGTAAGGGGCTTTTACCAGTCTGATTTTCCAGAAGGACAGTGGGGCAAGATAATTTATGAGTCAAAGAGTGGTTTGAAGTGATGAACCACGGATTTGAGCTAGGCGGGGTTGTTGACTTAGAAGTTTCCATAAGGTTAAGGAACTGGTGACTGGGAGTTACTTAGGAAGAATGCCACAGAGAGGGCTCTGACCTTGGCCCATGTCTCTCCTACTCTATCCTATCCAATGTGTTGGCTTTAACTTCCTGGGTGCTGATGGCTGCAAAATGTGTGTCTGAAACCCTTCCATGGTGCCTGCCCCTCAGACTCACATATGCCATACCTACTGATCGTATCCACTTAGATATACTACAGTCACCTCCAATTGCACTTCTCTTAAGTTGAACTTTTCATCCATGATTTCTCTCTAGTGAGGTCAGGATCATCTATCTACCCAAGCCAGAAAATAGAAATTATCCCAGACTCTTCTCTCTCCCTCCCCACAACTCCCTGCCACACATATCAAATTGAAAAGTGATTTTACTGCCATTCCTCACTTCACACTTTACCTTTTAGTGGCTATTAGTGAGTAGTTCATGCTTAATTAATAGTAGTTAGCAGCCTCCTAGAGGAGGTGAGGTCTAGCATAGCACTGGAAGAAAGTAAATATTCAATAGTGTTTTTTTCTTTCCACATTTTTTGAGATTCTGACCTATGAAATTTATTTTTATAAATGTAATAAAAACAAGTATATCATGGAAGTTTATTCTATAACCTTATATTATAAAATTATATCATAAATATGATTAATTCTGTAATTACCTGGCCCAAATACATAGACCTACATAATTTCTGTATGATGAAAGAAAACATTGCTAATTTGAACTCTTTTAGGTAGAGCAGATTGTCCATATTATGCTAAAGCAGAACTTCTGGCAGACTATTTACAAAAGAATCTTCCTGATTTTCGGATACATAAAATTACACAACATCCTGAGGTTTGGGAGGTAAGAAACCTTTATAGTTTGTTAAACTCGCACTTGCACAAAAATGTGTTTTAATTTGATTAAATATTAACTAGTATATCAGCTTGGCTTCCAGTAATGAATGTTCACGTACTACTGATATTTGCATACTAGTGAAATGAGTCCCTACTTATCAGTCACAAAGCATTGTTTATATTTTTTCTAATGCCTAGTAGAACTAATGAGACCTTCGCCAATAAGTAGAATAAATTTGACTGCCTCCCACCCACCCAAGAATCCAGGTAGCTTGAACTGCACTTGTTAACTTTTCATTCCCCTTCACGCTAATTTGTAATGACCTGAGGGACTTGTTTATTGGAAATACCCTTCTTTGTGACCTGTATCTCCAGAAACAGACTTTGAGATGCAGATTGTGGTGAAGGGGCTTTACTGGAAAGTACTCTTGGCAACAACATCCTGAAAAGGAACGAGAGTCACAGGGTCAGGCACAGGGACCCATCCTGCATGGACCCCTTCAGCTGGGATGTCCTTCCAGGGATACCTCAAATTGAGGCAAAGTAGCTGAGCTTTTGTACTCTCACCTCATCCAGTCATTAGCTGTGGCCTGCCCCTGGGGAAGGGACTTAACCTTAAGCAAAGCAATTCTCTTTGGCTGAGGTCAATTCCTGGAGAGAGAATTGAGTCAGCCCTGAGTCATCAGCAGCCATACACCTGGTGGCTGAGGGAATGAGTGCCTCCTTATGAAGGGGGAATCTGGACTGTACACAACAGCATTTGTGACAGTCCACCCGCTGTGACTTCTGGATCCACATACTCCGTATAATAAGTTAACACCATCTGGTAACAGTTCCTCCAGGAGTCTAGTTGGCATCTTTTCCTGGGGAAATTTCACAAGAGTGAAGATAGTCAAATCAACTACAGTCTCCACTGTACCTAGTTTCAGGGCCACACTGACACTCATCACCTTTCTTCTCCTCTATCCATGACAGATTCCCCTCACTCTGCTGTCTAGCCTTCAACTAAGTTATCTCATCTGCTGAGTTGTTCAGATGTTCTCTGATGGCCACTGTTCCCTGGATTCTATTATTTCAGGATTTTCTCATCCCAGTTGCCAGGGAATCCAGGTCTATAACAGCATTAGCCTAGAATGGACAGCCATACTGGGCTTCTCAGCAACACTGGGACCCATCTCACTGGTGCAATTCTTGTCACTTTGGTGAACGTAGTATCCTCCAGGCCTTTCTAGAGAATGGTTGACCAGTAGCTTTTCCAGCCTTCCATGTACCATATCCACCAGCCTTTTGATCCTTTCCTCCACTGTCTTCCATGGCAGTTCTGGCATTTCTATTTTATTTAATCATTTTCTCCAAGTTTCCAAGAGCCAGTCTAGCAACATGTGGTCACCATCCTCTGAGGCCCCTGCCAGGGTTTACACTCTTGAACTGCAGAAGAGGGATTCATACCGATAAGCCCTCCCTTGTCTAACTTTATGTTCCACTCTTTATTAAACGGTCTTGGGGGCTAGTCCTATACGTGCCCTCCCAGCTCTTGCCAGGACATCAACCTCCTCTTCATGGTGCTGCAGGTCCTTTGCGGAAGAGCCCCTTTCCTCCAGAGGCCCAGCCCTTCAGTGGCCAGGATGTGCTGTGACCAGAGAGGCCATGGTGGGATCCTCACCACAGCACTGTTTGCTTTGAGGTGGGATAAAGACAGAGAGATCTTCAATATAAGCAAGGGAAATTAGTTTCTAAGATTTTATTTGCAAAGTAGCCTCATTACACGTGCCTCCAGTCACATGGTTTTGAGACTGCTGCCACATACTTTACTGATAAGAATGTTGTCCTCTGTTCTACTCAAATCTTGTCATTGGAAGGCCTGGTCTACACAAACCAGATAATGATAATTTAAACTTTTTTTTCTATAAATATTCTCAGAAATCCTCAGATAACTTTTAACTCATTAATTCATTCAGAGCTGTAAACCATCCCCACAGATTTGAAAAGCAGTATCAAAATTTTTATGGCCCTAAGACTGGAATATCTCATATATAAGAAGAATAGGGCAAAATCAGTGGAAGTTTTTCTTTTTAAATCAATTGAATTGGAACCCCTGGCCTCTCTTTAAGCTAAACACTTGTATTCCAGGTCTCGTCAGCAAAAACAGCAATTTTCAGTACCTTATTTTGTCAATGAATTTGAAGAATATTCTTTCTTATTTGATTAATTTGTTACTAACTTATCACTACTTTCTATATTTACATTTTACTGTATAAAGATAACTAAAGTGTATTATATATACATAGTGGCATCGAAAACAACCTAGTACCTTAGTGTTTGAATTCTAAAGTATTAAATTGAATTCTCAGGCAGATTTAATATATGACTTCATTTGGATCATCCTTCAACAGGAGTGGCTGAAAGATGTGTGCGAAAGCAATAAGTGGAGTCATAAGAATTCTCCCATCATCTGGAGAGAGCTGTTGGATCGTGGAGGAAAGGGTTTGCTTCTGGGAGGATATAACGAGTTCCTAGAGCACGCCCAGGTATATCAATTAACTTGATTTATCTGTTCAGACAATGATCATTTTTTACATTATTTTATTTTTCAGATGTCTTGCTTTCCGAGACGTTCTCTCATCTCTTTTTATTCTATTTTGACTTAAAAAAAAACTTTCCATCATAGCCATTGCCAGCTAATTGTCTATTCTCTGATGTTGACTTTCTGTTTCCCAATATTTAGCTTTACTACGGTGTCACCTCTAGCATGACAACTGAGCTCATGATGGTAATTGCTCAAGAGAACCTGAGGGCACATATAGAAAAAGAGCAGGAGAAAGAAGCCCTGAAAGATCTCATCAACCCCTTGCAGGTCTGGATTACCAGGTGGGATAGTCAAACCCCAGGATCCAGAAGATTGGCTTTGTATATTTAGAAAGGACAGTGAGATGGGATTAATTTCTTGATGGAAGAATACCTGAATATCAGGTTTGAGATTTATGTGTATGTATACTTTTATATATAGGTATATGTATTGCATGTATGTATATATATGTGTGTGTGTGTGTGTGTGCATCTCCTCCAATATAACCAATGAATGCGTTTCAGGTTTTACACACACACACACACACACACACTTAATCTAAAAGCAACTTTGTAGCATGACTACTTTGCACAACCTCTCGCTTTTTCCCACTTGCTAGAGCTTTCTCTGTACACTCCCTCCCTCCCTGTAACCCTATTTCTCTCACCTCACTCTTGTTTACTTTCTCCTGCTCTTGTTTGCTCCTCTTTATTCCTCTCTGCTCTCAGTCTGGGGCACGTGAAGTCTCTGTTCTCTCTCTCTCTCTCTCTCTCTCTCTTTCTCTCTCTCTCTATTTCTATCTCTGCACGGCCTGTCTGTCTTGCTCTGTCTCTCCCTCCTTCTCTCCTTTCCTCACCCCTCAGCCTGTCTCTTGCACTGTCCTCCTCACTACACTAATGTAGACACTCATTAAAAATTATTTCTTATGAATTGTGAGAGATGTATTATAATAAACATGCATGACCTGATCCCCCAGATTTAATAAATATCACGTCTTCTTTAGATATTTTTCAAAGGATAAAATGGTACAAAAACTGTTGAAACCCCCATTGTACCCACCACGAATGCCCCGATGCACTTATGCACTTCCGGCGGGGGCTCATTACATCAGTCCCGTTCCATCAGCTCACAGTTGCTAATCACGCTATAGACGACCCAGACACTTGCTGATTTGTGATTGCAGGTACCCAATACGTAGCCATCTTCGCAAGGATTTTTATTTGTAAGAATTTGGAAAAAATAGTCCTTTCCAAAAAATGTCATTACTTTGTAGATAAGGGTATAAAGTTTTTTAAAAAAAAGAGCTATAGTTAAATGAAACTTGCGTCTTACCTTTTTAAGAGGAAACCTAAACAAGTAATTAGAATATTATGATGCAGTTCTTTGAAAATGTTGCTTTCTGCACATTGGGAATTCTATTTTATTTGAAAAACTTAATAAACAGATATATTTCTTATTTTACACTTGTTTTCAGATGGCCAGAGCAAAGGGTTAATAGCGAGAATTTTTTGTTCTACTTTCGATTTCTAGCCTTAAAAATATCAATGCAACCGTGCGTGTGTTTATTTAAAATATTAAATCACCCTATTAATGCACATGCAGAAATATATATTAAGAATAAATGCTTACAAAGTACAAAGGGTTTAACCATTTATAATCCAGCTTTGCATTTTTACCAGTGCATCTGCTCCCGCCTGCTACAACCTAATTCCTATACTGACCAGTGGTGAAGTGTTTGGGATGCACACGGAAATTAGCATAACTCTATTTGACAACAAGCGGGCGGAAGAACGTCTGGAAGCCCTGGTTATTGAGACCCGGGAGCTGGCGTCGCCTGTCCTGCGCAGGGTCTCCATCTGCACGAAGGTGGAGGAGGCCTTCCGCCAGGCCCACGTGGTCATCGTGCTGGACGACAGCACCGACCAGGAGGTGCACTCTTTGGAGGAATGCCTCCGAAGCAGGGTGCCACTGTGTAGGCTCTACGGCTACCTGCTTGAGAAAAATGCGCACGACTCCGTCAGAGTTATTGTGGGAGGAAAAACCTTTGTGAATCTGAAAACGGTTTTGCTTATGAGATACGCCCCAAGCATCGCACACAATATCATCGCTGTGGCGCTGGGGGTGGAAGGCGAAGCTAAAGCCCTACTGGCCAGAAAACTGAAAACAACTCCCGCGTGTGAGTCAACCCCTCTTTATGTTTTTGTTTTGTTTTGAAATAGCACGATGTGCAAGCAGCTAGGAAGAACACTGTACCCTCTAGAATCATTCTGAGTATCTGGAATATCAGTATAAAGCAGATACAGAAAACTTATTGTTTGACTTGACTACTGTAAAAACATTTTTTAAAACTGGCTTTTGTGACATTGTCCATCATTGTAAAAATTAGTAGACAAATACTTAATGTAATAAGATTTATATTATTCAAATAATAATTTGACACCTAATATTTCATTTCTTTCATGATAATAGTCAATTAAGGTAATCAGTATTGCCTAAAAAAAAAAAAAGCTATATCCAAGTGGCTCTGCCCCGCTTCCCATCTGTGTGACCCTTGAGCAATCATTCACTGTATTGTGCCTCAGTTTCCTCATCTGTAAAATGGGGACATTAACAGCACCTATTTCCTAGCATTGATGGGAGGATTCAGTAAGAATTTCAATAAAAATTCAATTGCATTCAATAAGAATTTCTAAAGGGCTTACAAAGTGCCTGGCCCATGATAAACATTGGCAAGAATGTTAAACTTGTCAATAGGATTATGATATCTGATCAGTTTCTGCTCCTATTAATCTCTGAGCTTGTAGACATCAGAATCATATGAAGATGAGACTGCATCAGAAAATGGAGTGTTGTATTTAAAAAGGGAGATCACACTTGGCATATTTTAGCTGTTTGTGCCCTTAGATGGAGCAGGTGCAACAGTGTCCATTGAGAATGGAAGGAGGTGCAAGGCAAAATTGGGAAGACAATGAAATGTGAGCCTCGAGTGTTCTAAATCAGGGGAATAGAAGACTTCTGTGAGCCCATAACATCACAGCCAGAGCCATGTTGTCCTTTTTTTTTTGTTTTTACAATGAAGCCCTGGAAATCATAACTTCCTGCATTCTTGCATACATATCTTTCGTGTCTTACATCTTACCCTCAAGGTTTGTACAAACCTCAACCAAATTGATGCTAAAATTATTCAGTGGGAAATGAAAACATTTTCTAACCATTTTTCTCTGTCATTAACCTTATAATTATATATGTAGACATGGACTCATCATAAAAGGTCTATGATACACTGATGAAAAGTGTCAAAAAGAGGCAGCGATACAAAATTTAAAACAAGGTTTCTGTGTGGATGGGGTTGGGGAGCTGGGAGCCCTTAACCAGAAAGCTGCCCCCTTGTGGATCTGCAGCTGCCATAACTCTAAGCTCCACTCTACTCAAAGCCAACAAGTATGTGAGAAGCAGAAAAAAGAAAAATGGAGGAAAGTTGGGAAAAGGAGGGAGAGACATTAAAGGGACAGTAGTCCAAGTAAAATTGTCATGAAGTGGCAAGGAGATACCCGGCAATAGCAAAAAAAGAGCTGAAAAAATGGTGTGAAAGAGAAAAACCACCACAGAAATCAATCAGGGACCAGAGGCCAAGAGGGCAGCAAACCTTTTCAAAAAGCAGGGCTCAAGATATGCCCTAGGTTTGATTCACACATAAACCTGTTTCTTAGACCTTGTGTATTGGCTCCTTCAAAACTCCTTCTGTTGTAAGTGTTAGAAAGTCAATTCAAAATGACTGAAGTCAAACAGAGAATTTTTTTCCCTCATAACTGAAAAATACGAGGAGGTAGGTCTCATGTCAGGCACAGCTGGATGCTGGGGCTCAATGATGCTGTGAGTGCGGACTTGCTCATGCTCTCTCTTGGCCTGTCCCTCTGCTCTGCTCTCCTCAGTGTTGGTTTCCTTCTCAGGCAGGCTCTAAAAAGTGACAAAATATCCACTGGCATCCCCAGACTCATGTGCTTGTGGTTTACCCACCCCGCAGAAAGAGGGCTTTCCTTCCCAATTGTGCAAAAGGAGCACAAACTCATCAGCCAGGCTTGGAGCACAGGCCCGTCTCTAAATCAATTATTGTCGCCAGGAGGGTGGAAGTCTGGGTCACATGTCTATTGGTGAGGACAGTCCCGCCCAAAACATAGGGACTGCAATTGGAGAGGGGGCAGTTATTTAAAGAAAAAACAGGATGCTGTTAACGAAAAAAGAAGGAGGAATTAAAGATGAGAGGGAATCAAAATAGCAGATGTCCAATATAATGTTCTATAGCACAACTTAGGGTATGTAGAGCCATAAAGGGCCTCATAAAAGGTTTCTATAGACTCTAGGGAGGAAGTCCACCATATGCTTACCTGGGACTGGAGAATTCTTTTCCCCAGGTGGGATCCCATGAGCTATAAATCCTGATTACCACTCCCCTTCCCACCTACAACACTCAAGCCAAGTGCACAGCATTAGCTCTTTTGAGAGTTGGGTGGTGGAGGGAGAACCAGCTCTCTGACTCTTACTTCATGAGTCATTTTGATGAGGGAAAGAATCTCAGTGGTGGTTGACTACCCAAAATCTACTTCCCACCCTCTTCTCCCCCTAGCCTGTCTGTCTTCTACTACAGAGGTTCAAACACTCACTCATTTTCTTAGCTTCTTTTGCAGCTAGGAGTGGCTGAGTGATGTGGTCTAGCTGGGGTTCCCTGGGAAAAATGTTTCACCCTTTAAAAAGAGAAAAGACAAAAAAGGAAGCCTCTGCTCCATTCCTTTCCCTATTGCCTGACTTTGAACACAACTGGGTGAAAATGTGCTACTTGGAGCTGCTGTAGCCATCTTAGAACCACAAGGGGAGGGCCAAGAGCATCACATTTTTGAGCTGCTGAACCAGCACATGCCACTGCCTGCCTTAATTTGTTATCTGAGAAAAGTAAAGTCCTTCTAGTGAAGCCAAGTCAGTAGGATGTTCTGTTACTTAAAGACAAACCAATCTTACCTCATACAGGAGAATAGAAAGAGCTCAATCTCCACAGTAGAAAATGGTGTGGTCTTATAAGGAAATTAAGTTTTTAAGCAAATAAATAAGTTAATAAGTAAATAAATAAAATTACTGTTTCCTTACCCACTCCCCACCACCCCCAGAATAGTGTAAGGATTTGGGCTGATTTGTTTTCTACTAAACCTAGTACCTAGAAGTGCCTCACACATAGAATATAATTCATAATTGTTGACTAAGATGCTCCCCAGGGTCCTCTTCTTACAATACCTTCATTTTGCAGGAGATAAAACCCACCTAGAAAGTGAAGTGCTTTGCCCTAATTTCTATTCCAGTCTAGATCAGGGACTCCTTATCAAAATCAAAGCAGATTGAAAGTTTTTTCTCTCTCCCTCTCTCAATGACAAGCAAAGTAATAAAGTGAGGACAAACACCAGTGATATATTTTTCAGTGGCAGGTTCTATCAGGGGACATTTCGTTATTCCGTGAATTTAATGATATACCCATACCATTCATAGAGCATTATTAGGGATCACCAAGCCCCAGTGATCACTGAGGCGATCCACACGTTTTGTGCCATTTTAGGAAATGTAAACTTAGATTTACTTTATAGCAAAGTACCAATCCTAAAACAAGCAAACACATAAACAAACATAAAATAGGTTTCAGGTCATTTTTTATATTAATGTAAGTTATTATGATTACTTTTTATTTCTATTCTTTATAGACATCAAAGATGTAATAATTTGGGGCAATATCAGTGGAAATAACTACGTTGATTTGAGAAAAACAAGGGTTTACAGATATGAGAGTGCCATTTGGGGACCTGTTCAATATTCACGCCCTGTTTTAAACTTGATTTTTGACAGGTACAGTGTATTTTTAAGTGAAGTATACTAACAATGTTAAATAAATGTATAATGGTTATAATCTATTAAATCATCTTATATTTGCACAAAAATAACTT